TTCGCTTTGTTTTATGTATTAAACAAATCTTAGATCCATGGGATTTTTAAAATAACAAATTGAACAAAACGACATTTTCTAATTTAAAAAAATTTTTAAAAATATTTTATAAATTTATTATTTTTAGATGGTATTCGTTCTTCAATAGGCCAAATATTATCACGTCTTTTTCCATTCAAAAGAGGATTAACACACGCAAATTGGGCACCAAACTTTTGGGCTTTATACAATTTTGTTGATGCTGGGCTGGCTAAAATTATTTTTTATTTTTCTGGAAAAGATTGTTCGGCTGGTATGGCTGCAATTTTACTTAAAAAGTGTCCGCCAACATCTGAATTTACAAAAGGAATTGTTGGGGTATTTTTTTAATTTATTTTTTTATTTTAAGGATAGGGGGTGAGTTGGGTAATAAAATGACATTTTTTAGCTGAAAATGGCAGAAATTACATTTTTATGACATTAAGACATTTTATGACATCTTTTGACATTTTATGACATTTCTGTGACATTTTTTACTTAATGAACTTTTTACGGCACACCTGACATTTTTGTGGTAAATGTCGTAAATGGGATGACATTTTTTATTTAAAAATGTCAAAAGTGACTTATTTTAATTTTTTGTTTGTTTTTCCCCAGTTTCAACTCGAGTCTAATGGTTGTTTTTAGATTCTATAGAAATTCACGGTCGAGACTTGTGTATGCCTAGGGTTGGGGGGAGAGGGCTAGATGTTGGTTTATTATTTTTTAATTCAAAAATTGATTTTTAAAATTAAAAAAGTGGGGGAGGGTAGCAATTAAGCTTACAAATGTTCCTAGACTTGTAGTTTTTTTACATAAAAAATTTTTTTCTTTTCAGGAATATTCTCATTCAATTTTGCCTGATATTTCACCTTTAATTACATTAATTATAATTTTTGTGATTTTAATTGCTTCGTTTTGGCGTTTTAAAGATATTGAGGTTTTTTTTGTTAAATTTAATTTTTTTTAAATTAATTTTAAAGGAATATTCCCACACTGATTTTTTATTAATTTCAATGTTATTGTCTGCTTACCCATTTTTTCTTTTTGGATGGCATGTGCACGAAAAGGCTATTTTAATGTTATTTTTTCCGTTGGCTATACTTTCAATAAAAGTTTGTTTTTATTTTTTTAAATTATTTTTTTAATTGAAAATTACAAAAAAAATTTTTTTGTAATTTTAAGAGATTTTTAAAATTTTAAAAGTGTTGGGATTTTTTCGTATTTTCCTAACAATAAATTTAGCCTATTTTCCCCTTTATTATAGTAACTTATTTTAATTAATTTGAGCATGAAGAGGCATGGTGTAGTGGTTAGTGTTCGAGCCTACAGCTAGTTTTCACTTAGTTTCGATTCCTCTCCGTGTTAAATGTTTTCTTCTATTCTTTTTATTTATTTAACAAACTTTAATTTGGTTATTTTATAAATTTAGTTTTAATGAAAAAAATTTTCAGAAAATTTTTTGAAGAGTTTTATGCCCCCAAAAGAAATAAGACTATTTTTTTAAGAAAATAAAAAATTTTATCTCATGATTTTTGGTTAAAATTAAATAAGTCCGCAAAAAATTAAAAAAGTCCGGAAACTTTTGGGGATTTTCTTTTTGCACGGAAAAATATATTATTTGCGGATTAAAAGTTGCGGATTTTTTTTTATCACAATCAAAAAATAATTTTAATTTATTCTTTCTTTTTTTTAAAGGATTCTCGTTTTATGGAGCCATTTTCCTTAATGTTTTTAATTTCAACATTTGCTCAATTTAATTTATTATTTACCCCAATAGAACATTATTTAATTAAAATTAGCTTTATTTTTGGAATTTTTGCTGTTGGAATATTTGTATTTAATTATTTGTGGCAAATTAGTCCATCAGAATTAATTAGATGTCCAGTTGCTTTTTTGTTGTTTAGAATGGTTTTATTGGCTGAATTTTATTCTTTAATTGGTCATAAGGTTGGGAAGGATTTTTTAAATTTTTTTTTGTTTTATTTAATCTGCGGACAAATATTTGCAGACACTCATTATATAGGGGGTTTTGTCCGCAAATTTGCATTATCCGCAAAAGTTGTCCGCAAATCCTTAAATATCTCTATTCATCCTCCTCATATTTCTCCTGATTTCCGTAACCTTAATTTCAACTTAAAATCTACTTTTAATAATTCTTTAATTTTTTAAGTTGCTATTTTCTTCTACTGAATACGATTTTCTTCCAATTATGGTTACATCAGTAATTTGTTCTTTAGCGGTTATATACTCTTATATTGGTATTTTACTTGGTGTTTTTGGAATTGATTTTGGTATAAAAATTGCTAAGATGAAATTGTATAGAAAAGAGGTTTGTATTTTTTTTAATTAAAAATTTTTTGTCCGCAAAAATTGTCCGCAAATTTAATTTTTGCGGACAACTTTTGCGGACAAAATCTCATTTTTACTTTTTAGGCAAAAATTCTTTCTTTACCTGAAACGACAGAATTCGATGAACGTTCAATAAGATACATTGCAGGTATTGATCTTTCTGCTTCTACAAATCACCCATCATTTGGGGTTGTTGGATTGACTGTTTTGGCTTATCCTAGTATGAAGGTTTTTATATTTTTTAGTTAAAGATATGTATTAGTTAAGAGTTTGGGAGAGGAAAAGTTTGGATACAACCTAGCAGGTATCGAACTTGGTTTTCAAAAAATGAAAAATTTTTTGTCCGCAAAAGTTGTCCGCAAATTAAAAAATTTTTTGCGGACATTTTTTGCGGATTTTTAAAATAATTTTTCTTTTAAGTTAAAAAGTTTTTTCAATTTAAAAGGTTGTTTATTGTGCAGATGAACCAGTTCTTCTAAGTGCTTTAGGTGGTGTAATGCCTTATTTACCCGAATATTTTGCTATTAGAGAAGCAAAACCTTTACTTCGTGTAGTTCGTCGTCATTTAAAAAATTGTCCAAAAATTAATTTGATTTTTATTGATGCAAATGGGAAATGGCATTCTAGAGGTTTATTTTTTGTTATTTATTTTTTTAAATTTTTTGTGTTTTGTTTAATATAAGAAAATTGACTTTGCGGACTTTTTTTGTTTTGCGGACTTTTTCTGCGGACTATCTTTTTTGCGATTTTCTTGCGGATTTTTTCTGCTGACTTTCCTTCCGCTCCTTTAGGAACAAATTTTTTGTTATTTAATTTGTAAAGGAAACACTAGCTATTTCCAAATAAATTTTTAAAAAATATCTTTAACGAAAAAATCCGCAAATATAGTCCGCAAAAACAACAATTAAAAAAAATTTTTTTTCATAAAGGTTGTGGTTTGGCTTGTCATATTGGTTATGAATTGGGCATTCCTTCAATTGGAGTTGCCAAAAAACTTAATGAAGCTCCACTTTTGTATTCTGGATATTGTACACGTGAGGATTTGGCGGAAATTAATTCGGTTAATTTTTTGTTTTTTTGCGGACATTTTTTGCGGATTTTCCTCCTTTACCATTAAGTTCTTTTTTGTGTTGGGAATATGTCAATCTGTTTTTTAAAAGACAAAGGCTGATCTGATCCTCAATTATTTTTATCCTATTTTTCGGGTTATCTTTTTTGTCCGCAAAATTTGTCCGCAAAAAATTTTATTTTTTCAAAAATAAATTTTTTATTTCAGGAAATTTACGAAAAATGTGATGACTCTGAAGGATCAGCAACAATCTTCTACTTAAATTGGAATAAGAAAAATGAAAATAATGATCAAATAAAATTGCCAAGTTTGGCTGTTATCCACACAAAATCATCAAAAAAGGCTTTTTATGTTTCTGTTGGGTTTGGTATAGATTTTATTTCTGCATCAAAAATTGCTTTTAATTGTATTGGAAAGAATTCGTATAATGTAAATCCAATTAGATTGGTTTGTTTTTATTTTTTGAATTTTTAACAAAATAAATTTCCGCAACCTTTGTCTGCAAATAATTTAATTTTCTGTAAACCCAGGGATAACCCTTTTAAATGTCCGCAAAATCTGTCCGCAAGTTTTCTCAAATTTACTTTAATAGAGGTTGGTCTAGGCTCCTTGTCTTCACTCATCGATATGAGGCGTTTTTTTCTATTCCCCGACATCCTCCGTGCTCCGAAAATTTCTCCACGGTGGATAAAAGTTGCGGACTTTTTTTTCTAACAATAAGGGATAAAATTTTTAAATGTCCGCAAGTTTTCACAAATTTACTTTGATAGAGGTTGGTCTAGTCTCCTCGTCCCCGCTCGACGATATGATGGTTTTTTTATTCCCCGACCTCCCCTGTGTTACGAAAGCTTCTCCACGGCGGATAAAATTTTGCGGACTTATTTCTTGTTTATTTTTAAAATTAATTAAAAATAAAATAATTATTATTAAGAGCGATCTTCGTTCGAGTAAAAGAATTGGAGAAATTTTTGAACATTAAAAAAGAAAAAAAATTAGAAAGTGTGATTATTTTGTTTAATTATTATATAATTCGTTTTTTTCCTTTAAAAAATAAAAAAAAATTTTTTTATTTTTTTGTCCGCAAATGTTTGTCCGCAAAATTTTATTTTTTTAAATCAAGTTTTTTAAATTTTATTTTGTGAATTTATACTTGTAATGAACAGTGAAGACCAAGAAAACAACGATGATTTTGAGCAACAGCAATGTGTGCCGTTATTTGTAGCTGCTCCAATGGTTCGATATTCAAAGTTTGTTTAATTTATTTTTTTCGGGTTTTAAGGCTGTTATCTTCTGGAAAGTTAACGTCAGCAATAAGTTCATGCGTAAGTAATCAAAGGCGTAGCCTGTTCATGCTACGGTCTATGGCCCTTAGGTTTAGGCCAGTTATCAACATCACCCTGTCTTTTTCTTAGAAAATTCAAACTTTGTCCGCAAAAAATTTTGCGGACAAAAAATTTTTTGCGGACAAATTTTGCAGATTTATTTTTTTATCAAAAATTTTTTTAAGATTGCCATTCAGAAGACTTGTCAAAAAATATGGATGTGACATTGTCTATACTCCAATGATTTATGCAGATTGTTTTATAAAATCAGAAAAGTGTAGAGCTGTTGAATTTGTACCAAGTGAAGGAGACTTTCCTATTGTTCAATTTGCTGCTAAAAATGCTGAAGATTTTGCTGGTGCTGCAGAATTAGTTTATGGGTTGGTTTATTTAAATTTTTTCTGTTAATTTTCTAAATCTGCAAGAAATTTTCTGTCCGCAAAAAATTTTTTTGTCCGCAAATTTTGTCCGCAAAAATTTTTGTCCGCAAATTTTGTCCGCAAAAATTTTTGTCCGCAAATTTTGTCCGCAAAGAATTTTTTTGGTGCTAAACTTGTCCGCAAAGATTTTTTTTCCGCAAAAATCTTTCTCTCTTTAGTCATTGTCAAGGAATCGATTTAAATTGTGGCTGTCCTAAAAGAGATGTCCGCTCAGAAGGTTTTGGTTCTAAACTTTTGGATGATCCCCAACTAATATTTGATATTGTTAGACAATGTAGAAGAAGAATATCAGATGAAAACTTTTCAATTTCAATAAAAATAAGACTAAAAAAATCGTTGGAAGAAACTGTGGATTTGTGTAGAAAGGTTTATTATTTTTTATTTTAGGAGGTGAAGCATGTCTCAGGTTTACTGAAACTTGCTTCAGGTTTTCTGAAATTTGCTTCAGGTTTTCTGAAATTTGCTTCAGGTTTTCTGAAACTTTCTTCAGATTTACTGAAGCAAATTTCATAAAACTGCTTCCGATTTTTTAATTTTTCTGGATTAAAAAGAATTTAATTTCAGGCAGAATATGCCGGTATTTCACACATTACTGTTCATGCTAGAACTGTTGAACAAAGAAATGAGCCACCCAATTATGATTCGATTGCAACAATTAAACAAGCGTTAAATATCCCTGTATTTGCTAATGGTATTTTTTTTTATTTTTAATATTTAAGCATGCTTCGTGTTTCTGATTTTTTAAAGCGTGCTTCTGATTTCCTGAAGCAAGTTTCAGATTTTTTAAAACTTGCTTTTTTATATTTAGAAGCATGCTTCAATTTTTTTCCAAACTTGCTTCAGGTTTGCTGAAGCATGCTTAAGGTCTTTTGTGAAACTTGCTTCTAATTTTTTGAAGCATGCTTCAAGTTTTTAGAAAATTTTTCAGTAAAATTTTTTGCTTCATGTTTTAGATTATTTTTTAATTTTTAAAATACTTTTAAGGTAACTGTAAAACACGATTAGAAGCCTTAAACATATCCAAATTAACAAAAGCTGATGGTGTAATGGCCGCAAATGGTTTATTAGAAAATCCTGCTATGTTTGCTGGTTATTTAAAAACACCAAAACGATGTGTTTTAAATTGGTTGGAAATGGAGAAGGAAGAAAATTTGTCTTTTGAATATTTTCATCAAATTTTGGTTTTTATGTTGAGGTTAGGGGTAGAGAAAATTTTTTTAAAATTTTTTTTGAAGCATGCTCAGATCATGTGAAGCATGTTTCATAAACATGAAGCATGCTGCAAAAAATTTGAAACATGCTTCTGATTTTTTTGAAACTTGCTTAATGTTTTTGAAGCAATTTTTCAGATCTTTGAAGCATGCTTCAGATTTTTGAAGCATGTTTCAGAAAAAAAAATTTTTTTTAATTAAAGGTCCTCATTGCCCAAAGAAAGAAGAAATATTTTTAACTGTCTAAAAAATTCAAATGATGTCAGAAATTTTTTAAAAGAATTTTATTTTGATTAATATTTGTTTGCTACTTGCTTCACTTTTAATTATTTAATGCAAAAACTTACGCACGGCTTAAACTTGGTAGGTTTATTTTTAAAGTTTAATTTAATTTTTAATTCCGCCTGTTTTTATAATTAAGTTTAAGTTTATTACGCCTGTTTACCAAAAAAAGTTTATTTTTATTTAATTCAAGTTTCTTTTTTACAAATTCCGCCTGTTTTTATTCCGCCTGTTTATGTTATTCTAACAATAAGCTTTAATTAAAGTTTATTTCCTTTCAAGTTTAAGTTTTATTTTTAAATTCCGCCTGTTTTTACCAAAACAAGTTTATTTTCTCTATAATTTCAAGTTTAATTTTTATTCTGATTTTTCAGAATATTATACAAACTTTATTTATTTAAAGTTTATTTTTCTTTCTCTAATTCAAGTTTATTCTTATTCTCCTTATATTTTATTTTTGCTTCAAGTTTCTTTTTTACTCTTTCATCATCTCCATTGTTTTGTTATTTTTATTTTCTCCCGTCATTTTTGTTGGCAGTTTTAATTCTCCAACAAATTTTTCATCATTTTTCGGCATCTTATTTTCTTCAAGATTAGGTATATGTGTTGGATGCATTCCGCCCATACCCTAAAATTTTTTTTGCTTTTTTAAATTAAAGTTGAAGCATGCTTCAGATTTTTTTCGAAGCATTTTTACACATGTAAAATTATTTTTTAAAATTTATAAAAATCTGAAGCAAATTTTAAAGGTTAATTAGACACGTTTTGAGCTATTTGAAGCATGCTTCATCTTTTTTTATTAGCAACATATTTTTAAGATTTGGAAACATGTTTTTGATTATTTTAAGGATGCTTCAACAATCGGAAAAATTTTTCTGTCAAACCTGAAGCATGTTTTCTTTTTTAGTGAAGCATGCTTCGAATCATGCTTCAGGTTTTTAGAGGTTTTTCTGGACCATAAGCATATTTCACAAATCTCTTACTTGAAACATGTTTCTATAAATTAGAGAAACATTTTTAATAAAACTGAAGCAAAATTATAGTCTTGCTTCAATAAATCTGAAACATGTTTCTTTCTATTCAAACTTTTACATTATTATTATTAAATTGTTCTTCACCACCACCACCACCCATTAACAACATTTCTTCTCCATTAATAAATAAAGAATTTATTAAAATAACAAACAAATAAATTGTTGGGGTAATTAAAAAAGCCATTCTTTATTTTCTTTTTATTTTTTAAAAATTATTTTATTTTTTTTTGAATTTAAAACACGAAGAAAATAATAATTTTTTCTTTTTTTTTATATAGGCCAAAAAATAATTTTTTTTTCATTTTATTTGTTTTATAGGGCAATTATTTAATAATTATTTTTTAGAAATATTTTTATATTATGTCACTTTTATTTGTATACCTAGGATTTTTATTAGTTGTCTTTTAATTTTTTTATTTTCTTGAAAAAATTTTTTTATAAGAAACCAAATTAAAATCCAAGAGAAACATATTTTTTAATTATTAAATAGAATTTTTAAATTATTTTTATAATTGTTTTTTTTTATTTTTTGGGGATTTTTAGATGGTTGGTAAATAATTAAATTGGCAATAAAAAATTGGTTTTTAATAACCACACACAATTCTTAGATTCCCAGAAAAAAAATTTGAGAAAAAAAATTAAAAATGAGTAGGTGGGGGTAATTTTTGTCCTTAATTTTTTGGTTTAAAAAATTTTTTTTAATTTTTATTAGCCTAAAAATTTTTTTCAATTCTGATTTTGTAGTAAATTTAATTTTCTATTTAATAATATTTAATTTTGTTTTAAAAATATTTTTTTATAGTTTTGAGTTGTTTTGAGCTAAACATCCCCTCACTCTTTTCTATTTTTTAATCAAAAAAATTTCTCTTTTTTTAAATAAAATTTTTCTGATGAAATATTAATGAGAAAATGCCAATTTTGTTACAGTTTTTTAGCAAAAAATTTTTTTTCCAATTTCCCTAACTTTTTTTGAATTTTTTAATAAAAAAATAAGTAATCTTCCCTTTTAAACATTTGTGTTTTCTCCCAAAATAGTAATAGAAAATTTAAATATTTTTAGGATAGTTGGCAATCTTTTTAACTTTTTTCAAAAATTTAAAAAATTTAATTTTTTTCCCCAACAAAAAATTTAAAAAATTCCTTAAAATAATTAATTAAAATCAACTACTTTTTAATAAAAAATATATAATTTTAAATTAATTTTTTCAATTTTTTAGATACATTCATTTCTAATTAAATATTGTGTGTTTTTATGGGATTGTTCAAAAATTAAAAATAAATTAAAAATAATGTCTTCGAATGTATTTAAATTGTAAGAATTTATTTTTTTAATTTAAAATTCTTGTAAGGATTTTATTTTTTGTTAGATTAACTTAAGGACACCCTCATTAAGGCCCTAAAGACTTGCTAAAAAAATTATTTTTTAGTTATAAGAAGGGGGAGGGCTCTGTCAGTAGAAAAGCACATGTACGTTGGTAGGGAATGTTCCTCTAACAATAACTGACATAAGGGAGTTGTAGGTTCGATGCCTGCTAAGATGCTAAACTTAAAAGAAAATTCTTTTTTGAATAAAGGGAGGGGAAGAAAATTTTTTTTAATTTTATTTTTTTAATTTCACAGTTGTTATTTCTGTGTTTTTCTTCAATTTCTTGTAAATTTAATAATAATTCCTCCAATAAAATGTCAACAACAACAACAAAAACTTAAACAAAAATTTCTTTTAATTAATAAAAATAATTTTGAAACTTCTCCAGATATTTTTCAACTTGGAAAAGAATTAAAATATTCAACAGAATGGAAACAAAAAATGCAAATGCTTTTAAGAAGAAATTATTTAATTAAAAGTGCTAGAAAAATGAAAATTAGAGAAAATACGGTCAGTGAATAAAGGGGGAGGGGAGGAAGAAATCAGAAATTTAATCAGAATTATTTCAGAAACAAATCAGAATTTTTCTGATCTTATTCTGATTTAATTCTGAAAAATTCTGATTTGTTTCTGAAATAATTCTGATTTTATTTGAAAAAATTTTGATTTGTTTATGAAATAATTCTGAATTAATTTCTGATTTCTTCCTTTATTTTTATTTGAAAATAATTCTGATTTAAATCAGAAAGGTCAGAATTATTTCAAAATTTTTTCGAATTATTTCAGAATTAAATCAGAATTAAATTAAATCGGTATTAGAAAAATTAGAACAATTCTGATTTTTCCTCTAATTTTTAACTTAATAAACATAAATATTTCAGAATGATAAATACAATGAATCTCTAAAGGCTGCAATTAAGAAAATATTGATGGGAATTTATTATTAATTTTTTTTAAATTAACACAACAAATAATAACATTTTTAATATTTTAATAAAATTTGGAGCACTTTTTGGATTTTTGAAAATTACCCAAAAGATCACCTCCCCAAAATATCAAATAATTCAAAAACGTCAAGAAATAAGTCGACGTCCGATAATTTAAAGTATTTTATCAACTTCCGTCTCCCCTCTCAATTCAAATTCAAAAGTATCTCCACTTAGGGGCTTTGTTGGCCTCATTGTAGTTAATGGTTCTCCCCATTCTCTTGTAGCTGGGGGCGAGCTTGACAATATTAAAATTGTTCCAACAAGTAGAGTAGTTGAAAATATTATCAGTAGAAGTCTGTCGAGGACAAATGCAACGTATGACCAATTTTCTGATACCTTTAAATAACTTGACATTATGAAAATTGCGCATTTTGGAAAAAAACTTGCCTTGTCGCGTTTCTGTTTTGCTCTAAAATAATCAGCAATAAAATGCACATTGTCCAACATTCTCCTGAGCACATCAGGGCCGAGCCCTCTCATCTGTGCGAGTTGTGAAAGCCTCAATTCCCCCTCAGGGATTGTAGCAGAAACAAAAAATGGACTTGGCCTCCTGGAACCAGCACAAAATGAAGGGGCTTGTGTGTCAGATATAGTGGTAGACTCGTCATTCTCTGACTGGGCATCCTCCTCCGGTGGATTCATTAACAAAAGTTTGGGTAATAGACGAATAAAAAGACGATAAATCCATCGAGGCATTGTGTGAAGGGTTCCATCACTAATTCAAAATTATTTAAAAAAAATTATTTTTTAAATTACCGTCTATGAAAATTCAAAGTAACAACAGAAATTGCAATAGAAAAGGAAACTAGAAACATTGTAAAGAGTAGATAACGACCAATTAATGGAATAACCATTGAAGTTGGGGGAATTAATTCAATTAGAATAAGGTAAAATACAGTTAAGGTAACCAATACAGAAACTAAAAATGAATAATTTATTCCGGAAAATACAAAAATGTATTTTTGTATTTTAGAAAAGAATATTAATTTATGGAAAGAGGAATATTGTATTTTCCGGAAAACTAGTTTATAAAATATTATTTTATGTATTTTCCGGAAAAATAAAATTATACATCCGGCGAGAGAATATTTGTGTTTTCCGGAATTGTATTTTCCGGAAAACTTGTTAATAAAAATATTGTATTTTAATGTATTTTCCGGAAAATAATATTATGCAGCTGTATTTTCCGGAATTGTATTTTCCGGAATTATATTTTCCGGAATTGTATTTTCCGGAATTATATTTTCCGGAATTGTATTTTCCGGAATTGTATTTTCCGGAAAACTTGTTAATAAAAATATTGTATTTTAATGTATTTTCCGGAAAATAATATTATGCAGCTGTATTTTCCGGAATTGTATTTTCCGGAATTATATTTTCCGGAATTGTATTTTCCGAATTATGTTTTCCGGAATTGTATTTTCCGAATTGTACTTTCCGGAAGTGTTTTCCGGAATTGTATTTTCCGGAATTGTATTTTCCGGAAATTGTATTTTCCGGAATTGTATTTTCCGGAATTGTATTTTCCGGAATTGTATTTTCCGGAAATTGTATTTTCCGGAATTGTATTTTCCGGAATTGTATTTTCCGGAATTGTATTTTCCGGAATTGTATTTTCCGGAAATTGTATTTTCCGGAATTGTATTTTCCGGAATTGTATTTTCCGGAATTGTATTTTCCGGAATTGAATTTTCCGGAAATTGTATTTTCCGGAATTGTATTTTCCGGAATTGTATTTTCCGGAAAATATTTGTATTTTTCAGAAATAATTCTTTTCCGGAAATTGTATATAAACGATATTATTTTCCGGAAACTTTTGTATTTTATTTCCGGAATACTTTTTATATTGTATTTTCCGAAACCTTTAAACACAATATATAAATAAAAAATAAACTCACTAGAATAAGTCATTTTGTGTTCACATGCAGGAATATAAAAAACAAAAACAGTTAAAATTGCTAGAAACATAATTTTTTAGTCTTTAAAATTCAAAATAAATTTTCTGACCGAGTAACATGCAAGGAATAACCAAATTAACAATAAAAAATAAAGTTTTGCGCCGAATAACAAGTCGGAAGGTTATGTCAATGTAAAAATCCTGGAAAATTTTAAAATTTAGAGGAAATTGGGGAAGAATTTATTTCTGGTATTTTTTTTTGATTTTAAATAAATTACCTGACCACAACAACCAGGATAAAGTTGTTCATGTCTAATAAATAAATAGATACATTTTGTATTTTTCCGGAAATTTTAATTAGACTTTGTATTAAGAAAAAGAATTTTTGTATTTTCCGGAAAATAATTATTTAGAATTTATTTTATTATTGTTTTATATTTTTAAGTAATCCATACCTGCTACTACTAACTGACATCAAATCCCATTCAAGACTTCTAAAATTAAAAATAATTTTTTAAATTAATTTAAATTATACGGATGGTAAGCAGACAAATCCATCCCAATTTTAAGATATTTGTATTCTCTACCATCGGGGTAACTAAGTGCTTGGGGTTTGTCATCTGGACCTACCTTTAAAATTAAAAAGAAATTAATTGATTTTAAAAGAATAAAATCGGTATTTTCCGGGAAATACAAAGCATCCGGAAAATTCATTTTACCGAAAATACAGTTTTCGGAAAATACAGAATTTCCGGAAAATACAAATTTTCCGGAAAATACAAAATTTCCGGAAAATACAAAATTTCCGGAAAATACAAAATTTCCGGAAAATACAAAATTTCCGGAAAATACAAAATTTCCGGAAAATACAAAATTTCCGGAAAATACAAAATTTCCGGAAAATACAGTTGACCGGAAAATACAGAATTTCCGGAAAATACAAATTTTCCGGAAAATACAAAATTTCCGGAAAATACAAAATTTCCGGAAAATACAAAATTTCCGGAAAATACAAAATTTCCGGAAAATACAAAATTTCCGGAAAATACAAAATTTCCGGAAAATACAAAATTTCCGGAAAATACAAAATTTCCGGAAAATACAAAATTTCCGGAAAATACAGTTGACCGGAAAATACAGAATTTCCGGAAAGACAATATGATTAACTTCCGGAAAGGTGGGAAAAATATACTATTTGTATTTTCCGGAATGTTTAAATATTTAATAAAAATATTTTTCCGGAAAATTGTGTTTTCCGGAAAATATTTAATAATTGTATGTATTTTTCCTTATAATTTTTGTATTTTATTTTAAACCCCAAAATTAATTTAAATAATTTACAGGTATTTGTGAAATATTCATCAAAAATCCATTATAAGTCCATCCCCCAAATTTCATTAAACATTCTTGTGTATCAAAAGGGAAATATTCAATTTCAATATTACAAAAAGATTTGTAAATGCTTGGGGGTTTCCAAACAACTAATCCATTAAAATAAATTATGGCGTCAGAAACGATTGAAATGTGAGGTTCTCCGTCAGCATTATTATATAAGACTATATCTGGTATCCATATTAAATCTGAAGGAATATGTAGCTTTTTTATTCCACTAAATTTTGATGGATCCCTTTAAAAAAATAAAATTTTAAAAAATAAAAGAGAGAGGCGACATTAAAGCCCTGAGCCTTGAGGCCATATTTTGAGCCAAAACTTTCTAGATTCTTAACCTATACAAGCAATTTCCATATTATTCAAAAGTTCAAAATATGTGCATTATTTTACTTAACAGAACTAATTTGATCTGATCATTTAAAAGGAGGTGAGAAAATAAAAAGGGGGAAGGAGGTAGTAAAACCCTCAGTTTCGAGGCCATACTTATGGCCATAACTTTTTTTTATTTCTGCCCGCTCTAAACATTTTTTATATCAATCGAAAGCCCTTGATATGTGGATTATTTTATCTAACAGGTTAATTTAATCAGACCAATATACAAAAAATTACAGCGAAATAAAGATCGAAAATCACGATTGCACGTACTTAACGAAATGTAACATTTGTAGGATGTTCTGATCAAATTAATCCTGTTAGATAAAATAATCCTCACATTTAGAGCTTTCAATTGGTATTATAATTATTCAAATCGGTTGGGAACTAAAGAAGTTATGAGTAAAAATATGACCTCGAGACTGATAGTTTTCTCTACCCTATCCTATCTCCTATGGGGAAAAATAAGAAAAAATAAATAAACTTACCAAACAAATTTGTAATCGTACCATTGCTAAAAAACAAATTTTGTAAAAAATAAAAATTGTAAAATTAATTTTAATACCAATTCAAGCCATAAGGAGGTTGTTAATACTTGATTGACTTCATCCTAAAAATTAATTTAAAAATTTAATATTTTTTAATTTTCCATTATTTTATTTATTTATTTTTAAAAATCAAAATTAATTAAAATCACTTAATTAACCTTAACACCTTTTCTTTAATAAAACTGGATTTTTAGTACTATATTTTATCCTTTAAAAATAAAGATAAAAAATTAGGAGTATTCCTTCCTTCCTTTCAAACAAAAAATTTTTTCTTAATCTTGTTTCTTTCGAGAATGATAAAAAAAATAATTTAAACAAGTTTAAACACGTTTTGGCGTGTCTAAAAAATAAAAGGAAGAGATTATTAGCGAGAAAAGGTCAATTAAAAAATATAAAAGGACAGTCTCTGATAAGTAAAAACACAGATCTTTTTAAAAATATTTTAATAAAATGACCCAAAAACAATGGGAATTTTTTCGAATTTTAGCAATTTCTTCGTGTATTGCTTCATTAGCTAGTGTAATATTATTAGCTGTTTGTATTCCTTTAATTTATATTCAAATTGATGAAGAAAATGAATTTATTGGGTTAAAAGCAAAACAATTTAGAGTAATTTTTATTAATTTAAAATTAAAAAAAAATTTTTTTAAAGGAAAATTCAGAAAGAATATGGACTAATACTAATTATCAAAATTTGGGGAGAAATAGTGGAGAAAATGAGAGAAAGAAACGAGCAGTGTTAAATGTTGGAGGAATTTGTTCAGGTAAAAATTATAGGAAAAAATACAAAAAATACAAATTTCCGGAAAGAAAAATACAAAAAGAAAAATACAATTCCGGAAAAGAAAATACAGAAAATACAAATTCCGGAAAGGAAAATACAAAGAAAATACAGATTTCCGGAAAGGAAATACAAAAAAATACAATTTCCGGAGAGGAAAATACAAAAAAAATACAAATTTCCGGAAGGGAAAAATACAAAAAATACAAATTTCCGGAAAGGGAAAATACAAAAAAATACAATTTACGGAAGGAAAATACAGAAAATACAAGTTTCCGGAAAGGAAATACAAAGAAAATACAAATTCCGGAAAGGAAATACAAAGAAAATACAAAAAATACAATTCCGGAAAATAAGTCATTAATAGCAAATAGAATTCCGGAAAGCTAAATACAAAAATTGCTTTCGGAAAATAAAATAATATTTTTCCATAATGGAGAAAAATACAATTGTAAAAGGAAAATACAAAAATACAAAAGGAATTAATTCCTAAAAGAAAAAATACAATTCCGAAAACAAAAATAAATTTAAACACACACAAACAGGATGTAAATCGTTGACATGCCCACCCGGACCGATAGGTCTTCCAGGCCCAGCAGGAGAAGACAACCCTCCAGGAGAGCCAGGAATGCCTGGCGAACCAGGAATTGATGGATATGATATTGAACTTGGGCCTGAACAAGAACAGAGCTGCGCAATCTGTCCAGCTGGACCCCCTGGGATGAGGTGAATTTAAAGAGGAGTTACCCTAAATAATTCGTTTAAAGAGGAAGTCAAGGCGAAAGAGGACAGACAGGAATTGTTGGAATGGTAGGGGAGAGTGGGACAGATGCCGAAGCAGGAAAAGAAGGCCCTAGAGGAGATGCAGGTCCCCCAGGCAAACAAGGGCCAAAAGGAAAGAATGGATACCCTGGAAGTGTTGGGGATAATGTTATAGCAGGAATAGGACAGAAAGGACCAAAAGGCCCTCCTGGCCCTGCTGGTTCAATGGGAATGGTTGGAATGGCAGGAAAATCGAATATGAGACAAGGCTTTCCAGGCGTAGCAGGAAGTGTAGGTCAACAAGGGCCACAGGGGCAAAGTGGTGCTGAAGGAGCACAAGGATTAATGGGACTTGTGGGGGAGCCTGGTGAGTGTTTGAAGTGTAAAAATAATTTTAGAAAAAATTTTTTTTAAAGGAATGCCTTCAATGTATTGTCCAACAGATTGTGGTGTTTCACACATAAAAGTACCAGAATTTGAAAAAACTGTTGGGTATAATACAAAAGAAGAAATAAATAAAAATAATATTAAAAAGAAGACAACAAAAAAGAGAAATAATAATAAAGTTTTGGGGACTAACAACTATAAAATTGAAAAAAATGTGGGAAGAAAAAGAGTTAAGATAGTTGAAGAAAGACATCCTAATGGGGGATATAATGCTCAACGTGCTTAAGAGAAGAAAATACATTGTATTTTCCGGAAAAGAAAATACATTTCCGGAAAGTTAATTTTAAAAATACACGTGTTCATATCCGGAAAAATAGATTTCCGGAAAATAAATAAAAGAAATAAATTTTCAGAAAGATTTAAAGAGAATAAAAAATTTCCGGAAAAACACAAAGCATAATATCTTTTTATTTTTTCCGGAAAACTTTTAATAATTTTAAATTAATTTTTAATTGACTAAAAACTTAAAAAAAACCCACCACATCAATAATACGGATTAAACTAGCACCAAATTTGACATCCAAAGGTTGAGTACTGTTTTTAACAGGGCGCACATTTTTGTTGTAAAAATACCTAAAAAATAAAAATTAAAATAAAAATACAATTTATTTACATTAAATCCTCATAAAGTTGATAGTCGTAATTGACATTTCTACTGGTCAAGATGGGGGAAACAAAAAATATAGGAAGAACTTAAAAATAAAAAATTATTAATCTCATATAAATAAATTAAAAATTACCTAAAAGAATGAAACGCATGTTCCGAAAGAAAATACTATTAAGGAAAGAATAAAACACAGTCCGGAAAGAGTGAAAAATTGAAGCAAAAATACAATTCCGGAAAGATAATGTTCCGGAAAATTAATAAAAATACACGATTCTGGAAAGGAAAAACACAATTTTGAAAATTCCGGAAAAAGAAAAATACTTAAACATTCCGGAAGAAGATAATATAGTACAATTACTCACAAAAAATACATGTATTTTCCGGAAAGAAAATACAACTTAGGTGGTTATCCGGAAATTAATACTTTAAAGTAAAAGTATTGATCAGAAATAAAAACTAATATTAAGCAGCTGTTGAAAAAGTGCGTTGTTTTTGATCTTAATTTTACAACTCCCATATTTTTTTCAGTAAAAGATTATTTTAAAAATAGAAAAGGAGAAGTCTTGCAAAAAATTAAAAAAATTTTTTTATATGAATTTTATTTCTCTAAAAATATCAGAAAAAAAAATATCAAAAAAGTGATATGTAAAAATTAAATATTAATTTTAAAAAAAATTTAAAAACCACACCTCGAATTATTCTCTAATTAATTAATTATTTTTAAAAAATACATCAATTTATTGCACAATTAATTTTTTAATCAATTTCTTCTCCTTTATTTGATAAATTTTTTGGGTTTGTTGTTTCTGCTTCTTCTTTGTCCATACAATCCTTTAAAAATTAAAAAAATTTTTTTCAAAATTAATTTTTACCGAAAGTCCAGAACAATATAAAAGCATAACTAAGGCTAAAGCTTGTAACCGGTTATCGACAATATCAAAATCTTCATCATTTTTACAAGGTAAAGAACGCCTTTCACGAGTTACCCGTTCAATCATTGTTTGTACTCTATCAATCTTTTTAAAATTAATTTTAAATTTTTTAAAATTCTAATTTTAAAAAACCTTATTATAAGGTATCCCTTGGGAGTTAAAAAATCGTCTCTTATAATGAGGAATCTATTAAATGGAGGGGTATCGCTTTAAAAACAACTTCCTCACCTCCCTCATCCAGTAACCAATAAGGTTGTCTGATAGTTGGAAATCTCCGGATATTGTCGGATAGTTGGAATCCGGCAACCTTAGTAACTAACCAAAATTTTAAAAGCCTATCTTAAATCAAGGTACCATATTTTTTGTATTAGAGCTCTATGAGGCTCTTTTTTTCAACTATCCTTCAAAGTGGGGTTTTAGTACAGCGTGGAGCTCTATAACATAAAAATACCGATAAATTTAATTTTTAAGTGTAATTTATAATGAGGGTTTTTAATCAAAAAATTTTTTTCCTTTCTTACTTGAGAATTAATTTTTAATTTTCTTTCACTAGCCGGTAAATTTCCAAAAACTAATTTTCCTTTAGTTTTAGTTTCACAAATAACTTGAGGATTGTAAGCATTTCCAGGTTCAAAACGTAATTCATCAATATTTATTTCTTTTGGAAAACCTTCCAATGAATTAAAAAAATCACGATCGAGAACATCCTGAAAAGAAAATAAAATATTTCGGTATTTCAAAAAAAAAATTACCGAAATAGCAATAAATATCTGAGATTCTCCTTGACTATTTTGTAAAGATTGGGATGCTTGTGAAGGTGGTGGAGATTCTGGAGGTTCTGAAAAATTAAAATTATTTCTATAGAATAAATAGAAGGGAAGAGATAATAAGTTTATAAAAAAATACAAATTGTAAAATAAGTTTTGTATTTTGTTATAATTTGTAAAACAAGTTTTAAAACAAGACAAAACAAGGGTTAAAGCAAGTTTTAGAAAAAGATGAGAAAAAGTTTTAAGAAAATTGTAAAATATAAATAATGAAATTGTAAAAAGTTGGAATTGTAAAACAAGTAAAAATATTTAAAAACATGTTCAGAACATTTATTTAGCAATGTTTCTATAAATGTTTTTTAAAATGTTTTAGAATATTAAAAATGTTTAAAACTTTTTTTCTCAACTTAATTTTTTTAAAACTTGTTTTACAAATTATAAATTACAAATTGTAAAAAAAAAGAGTTGAAATTGTAAACCAATTAAAAACAACAAAACAAAACATTACCAGTAGACATTCTCGATGTTGATTCAATTTCTTCTCTAGGTGTTGTTGTAATTTCTGAAATATTTCCACCTCCTCTTCTTTTTCTAATTCCCCCTCCAACTTGTTTTAAAGTAGACATTGTTGTTTGGAGTTTTTCTGCTATTCGTCTTCTTCTACATCCACTACCTATTTTATTGTCTGTATCGAGTAATATATTTGGTTGATTTAGTAGAGGATTTGTTGTTGTTAAAAGAATTTTTTGTTCTTCTAAAAAATTAAATAAATAGAAATATTCCATATTAGAAAATCAAAAAAAAAAATAACCAGAAAATCAGAAAATATAACAGAAAAATCAGAAAAAATCAGAACTAAAAAAAGAAACCAGAAAAAATCTCTGAAATCAAAAACAGGATCAAATAGGTCAGAACGAGGAAAATCGCAAAAAAAATTAAAATTAGATCAGTAAAAAGTCAAAATAACTCAAAAACAGGAACCAGAAGAAAATAAAAACCAAGAACAGGTCAAATAGGTAAGAACAAGGAAACCCACAGAAAACCCAGAAAAAAATCAGAATAACACAGAAAATCAATAGATGCAAGAAAAATCAGAAAACTAAAAATCAGAATAACTCGAAAAATTCAGAAAAAAATCAAAAACACAATTAGGTCTGACCAAAAACCCCAAAAAAAATCAGAAAAATTTGAAAAAAAATCAGAATAACTCAAAAAACGAACAGAAACCCAGAAAAAATCCAAAAACCAAAAACAGGATCAAACAGGTCAGACTGAGGAAAATCACACACAAAAATCAACTCAAGATCAGAATAAAGGTGAATAAATCAAGAAAAAATCTCAACACCTGAATAATTTGCTGCCTCTTTTCTTGTAGGGGATTCAACATTAAAATCAACCAATTCTTCAAACGCTTCATCATCATTAAAATTTGAAGGATTTATTATTTTAGTACATTCACAAGCTTTTGCTTTATCCAAACATTTATTATTTGTATGACAAATTATTAAACATTTTTCACAACGACTACCTCCTTTTAACCAAATTTTGCCAGAACAAATAAAACAAGAAAAATGTAAACCTTTTTAAAAAATTTAAATTAAACTTGTTTGGGGGAAATTGTAAAACAAGTTGAAATTAATTTTACAATTTGTAAAAAGTTTGGGAAAAAAAGTTTGGGAATGCATTAATAAAACTTGTTTTTACAACTTGTTTTAAAACGGTTAGAAAACTTGATTTGTAAAACTTGTTTGACTAAATTAAAGAAAGACTAAAGAACAAGTTTTTTACCGAAGAAGTTTTACAAGTGTTCTTTACAAAAGTATAAACCCAACACTTATGTTAACAGCCTAATTTTAAACAAATGTTAGAAAACTTAATTGTAAAACAAGTTAAATTTTAAATTGTAAAATAAACACAAGTTTTCCAACAAAAAAAGACTCTACTATTTTGAATAATAGTCCCCAAAAAAAATAAATTTGTGGTCAAAAAATTTTAAAAAAATTAAAAATTAAATTTTTTACCATGCTTAGGTTGTAAATTAATCCATTTATGTTCATTATTATTTGATTGTGGTTGTTGATTTAAATTTTCTTTTTGTTGTTTTTCTTCTTTGTTTTCTTCTTCGTCCTTTTTTAACAAATCTTTTTGTTGAATTAACGAATTTGGAAGGCCATCAGGGAAAAATCGAAAACCAAGAATTATATCACCAAAGCATAAACGTGGATCTAATAAAAAAAAATATTTTTTATAATTAAAAATTCTTTGAACTATAAAAAAAATTTTAAAAATTTCTTTCTTATTTTCTAAAAAAATTTTTTTAAATTTAATTTTAAATCAAAAAATTGGAAAAAAATTTTAAAAAAAGTTTGTAAATCAATTTTTATTAAATTAAAAATTCAAATTTATTCACATACCAAAGCCATTATGTTTAGATAATTCTTCAAATTCTTGTGGAAGAATATTTTCTCTGAAAAATTTTTTTTTATTTTAAAAATAAATTTTAAATTAAATTAATCTATTGAATTTTCATTTAATTCTTAAAATTATATTTTTTACTTCTAAAATTTTTTTAATTAAAAAAATTTTTTAATTCTAGTAAAAAACCTTTCTTTGGGTCCTTTCAAATGAAAACGTTCTCGATGACTATTTGAAAGAGTCAACTTTAAAAATAAATTAAATTATTTAAAAATTAATTTAAAAAAATTAACCGTGCAATCATCGATAATTCGAGGGACATAAATACTTGTCTAAAAAAAGATTTTTTTAATCAAAAAAAATTTTAATTGAAAAAACATACAAAACCAACAAGTTCACAAGAATCTTTTTCATTTCCTTCCGCATCAGCACAAACCAACACATTTAAATACAATGACTCGTTTTGTAAGGTAAAATGAAGAGATTGCCCCCACAAAGGATCCTTATAAAATAAAAAACTGATTAGACAAATTCAGACTAGAGACTGAACCGACACGTGATTTCGAACAAAAATTTTTTTAAACGAAAAAAAAAAGTTTTTTTATACAACAGTCCAAGTCCAATCTCTAATTTTGACTGTAAAATTAAAAAAAAAATCTTATATAAAAACTTTAACGATGGTGGTCCATTCAAAACCGAAAAAACGAGGGTTTTCGTTAGATTTTCGGTACCGTTTTTGATATCCAAAGATTTTGTCAGGCCCAAATAGAAGAAAAAATAATTCTCTTAATTAATTCACCAAAACTTCCCCAATTAATAATTAAAAGAATTAAAAAAAAACCTTAGTTAAAGGTATTTGTTTTGTTTTTTGCATATTTACATCTTGGAGAAATGCTTCAGATTTTGTTGCTGTTGTCTCTCTCTTTTCTCCATCATTTAATACATTTTTGCCACAAGAAGGGGAAGGAGACCTTTTTTTTAAAATAAATAAATTAAATTTTAAGAATTTTTTAAAATTAATTTCAGAATTAAAAAATATAAGACTAAAACGACTTTCTGAGAAAAAATTTGAAAATTTCTCCATTTTTTCCTCAATTTTTTTCAAAGATTTTAAAATTAAAACGGCCCATTAAATTAAAAAGATCCTCAAATTTTTTTTTTATTTTTTAAAATAGTAAAATTCAAAAATATGTCAGACGCCCAGTGAATAAAAATTTTTTTAATTTTAAAAATTAAAGAAA